TTTAGGCCATTGGGGGTAAGTGACTTGCCCAGGGTCACACAGCTAGTGTCAAGTGTTTGGTCTGAGGCCGGATTTGAACTCAGGTCCTGCTGACTTCAGGGCTGGTGCTGTATCCACTGCACCACCTAGCTGCCCCTACTCTTACCACCCTTTTCAATGAACTCCAATGGCTGCCTGTTACTTTTAGGATCAAACAAATTCCACTGTTTAAAATTTAAAGCCCTTCACAACCTGGCATAGGGACAGGTAAGTGGTGACATAGAGCACTGGGCTTGGAGTCAGACAAACCTGAGTTTAAATCCTGCTTCAGACGCTTCCTAGCTGTGTGACCCTGGGCAAGTCACTTTAAACCTTTCTTAGCCTGGGTTTATGTGCCTGTACAAGGTGGATAATAAGTGCTCCTACCTTACAGGATTGTTGTGAGGCTCAAATGGGAGAACACATGTAAAGCTTTACAAATCTTAAGAGTGCACTATAAATGCTGTTTGTATTATCTGCTCTTTTCCTGCTTACCCCTCCCTGCCCTCAACCTTGCAGGGCCACTTGCTGTTACTCATGCATGATGCTCTTTCTTCGCTCCTGGAATGCTGTCCCTCCTTGGACACTTGTGGTTTCATCACTGGTCAAACTCTGCCTTCTTTAGGAGGGCTTTCCCAGGCCCCTCAGGGACTAGTGCCTTCCTTCTAAAGTTATCTAATATCTTAATTATATGTATCTTTAAAATTTTTTTTATGTGCACAGGTTATGTCCAATGTTTCCCCCATTAGAATATAAACTCCTTGAGCAGCAAAGACTGTTCCTGCTTTTTCTTTGTTTCCCTAGTGTTTACCATAGTACCTGAGTAGGAAGTGTGTAATAGGTGGCTCAGTGAATAGATTGCTAGTCTGGAGACAGAGAGACTCTTTCCATGGCATCATGTATGCTTGTGGAATGCACACTGAAACCATGTACATTAGCTTGAGATAAATAATTAGGAAGAGAAATTTGGAAAGGAAAGTCAAAATACAAATGTATCTCACATAAAGTCCATTATGATCTTACAATAACATCATTAATACATTGAAATCAAGTCCCAACATAATGTAACAAAACCTTACTGGCAAGGCACATCTCCCCACAGAAATGCAAAGCCTATCCACCCTCTAGTTGCCATAAGGAGAGATCACTCTACCTGGGCTCCTTTCAAACTTTGATCAATCAAGAATTAGGCCTGGGGCACGATCAATGAATCACGAGGACCTTTCCAGAATCCACATTGGGATTCCATTAAGGAACCCATCAGCTCTGGGGAGAGAGTAGGGAGGCACTGCTTATCCTTAGATCTACCCTGGGAAAAGACCCAGTGTGGCATTGAGGAAGGCAGCAAGCCTTTCCCTCTATTCACCATCCAGTCTGAACCTTGCTGTAGAATAGATGTAGATGGGGATGTGTGGGGCAGTTACCTATCACCCCCTGTGAAGAACTGAAATATTTTTTATAATTTTGAGGGTGAAATTGATGGTGGAGCCTACTTTAGTTATACACATCTGCTTGTATGCACAGGAATGGGCAGAGACCCAGGACCCAGTTAGGTTTGGGTGTGGCACCCTAACTGACTGGGGTTGTGGAAGAAGATGTTAAAATCACCACTGGGCTAAACTCAGCTAAATAGACGCCAAGCAATGCAAGAGGTTCTGGGAAGGAGAACGGGGCTCCTAGGTCAGTCCACAAAGGGAACAGGCCTGAGTGGGGTGGGCTCCACATCCTGATTAAGTATAGCAAATTCCATGAGGTAACTGGCCAGCAACTTGTTAGGCTGGAGAAAAGCTAGAAATGTTTAGGAAATCTGAGAACCTTTTAACTTAGGCAGGTAATTTCTTTAACATTTTTATTCTATTTTGCTAAATTTGTGATTATTGAATATACTCTTTTAAAAAATTCAGCAAACATTTATTCAGTACCTATGAGTACCTGCACTAGGCACTGTGTTAACAGATAGTAAAAAAGACATAGTTCCTATCCTCTAAAGAGGGGAAGTATAGATATGATATGTATACAGCAATTCTCACAGTTGGCATTTGTTGCTGGGAGGTTTTGGGGAGGCGGGAAGGCTAGGGCACACCCCCTCCTCCCTTTCCACTAAGGGGGCATCTGCTTTGGACCCATGCATGTGGCTCAGTTTGAGGGGGGAGCCTGGCTTCTAATGACAGGAATTAGGCTCTTTTGCTCTTACTCTCCAGCTCTTTATATGCCCACCTTGGTGGTCCAGGGGAACATGTAGGGATATCACCAGTCATCCTGACCTACGAGTTGCCCCTGGACTCTGATGACTCTGGAAGAGAGAGTGAGGCTGATGACTTTGCACAGCTCTGCCTCACTTAAATCCAATTCACTTACAAGTCAAGACATTAGTCCTCTTTAAGAACAAAGGACAAGGGGGCAGCTAGGTGGCACAGTGGATAGAGCACCGGCCCTAAAGTTAGGAGGACCTGAGTTCAAATCTGGCCTCAGACCAAACACTTAACACTTACTAGCTGTGTGACCCTGGGCAAGTCACTTAACCCCATTTGCCTAAAAAAAGGAAAAAAAAAGAACAAAGGACAAGGGGCAGCTAAGTGACTCAGTGGATAGAGCACCAGCCCTGAAGTCAGGAGGACCTGAGTTCAAACCTGGGCCTCAGACCAAACACTTGACACTTACGAGCTGTGTGACTCTGAGCAAGTCACTTAACCTCAGTTGCCTAAGGGGGAGGGGCGAACAAGAACGGAGGACAAACAACAGCAAACAACAATATTTAAAGCCTAGGTCTGAGCTTATGTCTAGATTTTCTTCCAAGTGGAGAATAGAAAGGCACTCAATGTACCTTTCTACTCCCCACTTGCACAATGTAAATCACTTATGGGACAGGTATTTATTTTCTACACACAAAAGAAACCCAATAGACTCTCACCAACTTTCACTGATAGACTTAAAACAGAATCCTGTAACACCACTCCTATTAGAAAAATATTTTCAGAAACTTGAAGCAAACTAAAGTGACAATAATAATTTTTGTTATATTGGGAGGTCGACTTAAACAAACGAACATGAATCAGTTTATATTTATATTGAATAGGCATCATTACATTTCACTTTGGCTCTGTACTGTCCAAACAATTCCCTCAAGATAAATATTTTCTGGCAAGCCAGGCCAGGGCTTCAGTTTATCTTCTTACAGGGGAGATAGAGGGAATAGGCATTTATATAGTACCTACTGTGTGCCAGGCACTGTGCTAAGTACTTTAGAAATATTCTCTTGTTTGATTCTCACAATAATCCTGGGAGGAAGATGCTGTTATTATTCCCATTTTACAGCTGAGAACACTGCAGAAGCAGAGGTTAAATGACTTACCCAGGGTCACATAGCTAGTGAGTGTCTAAGCTCATATCTGAACTCTGGACTTCTTGACTCCAGGGCCAGTTTTCTAGCCACTTTACCACCTAGCTGCCTTTTGTTATGGTTATTTTCTCCACTGCCGAAACTCTTCCTGCTGTGAGTCAGCTCTGACCAAGGGACAGTATATCTGCTGATGCTCAGTTTCACAAGGCCGCCACCGAGGCTGTACATATCCACCTCAGGAGTGATGTTCTATAACCAGGGATTAGGCAAAGAAACACATAGCAGAAGAGGCAGTCAGAGGCCCAGGGTCGAGTTTAACTATCTGAGCACCAGTTCTAGCTGCGTTGTGGAGAGTAGGCGCTGTACTGCCAGGATGGGGGCAAAAAGGCACCAACCCTACAAGATATTCTTTTTTTTTTGTTTTGTTTTTTTGGCTAGGCAGTGGGGTTAAGTGACTTGCCCAGGGTCACACAGCTAGTAAATGTTATGTGTCTGAGGCTGGATTTGAACTCAGGTCTTCCTGAATCCAGGGCCAGTGCTCTACCACTGCGTCACCTAGCTGCCCCAAGGATATTCTTGATACAATATGGAGCCAGAAGAGAAGAGAGTGCTTGAGGGCAGGACCCTCCCCTTTTTGTAAGACATTAGGTCATTCTGCTCAGTGTCCAATGTGAAGATTTTTCCATTATCCCAGAGCATAAATTCTTCAGTGCTACTTCAGACATGTCCCTGGAGTCCCTGGAAGTTTCCACGGGAGCTCTGGTGCATGTTCCCCATAGGTCTGTTTCTACCTGCACTCCAACTCTTGCTATACATTTGTGCAGAACACGATAGGGTATGATGGAGGCAAAGGAAAACTCAGTTAAAGTTTCCTATTATAAGATGGGGATGGGAGGGTGGGTCATAGAAGGCTTCAAGGAAGAAGTCACACCTAAGATACCTCAGCATGTGGGCATGGGAAGGAAATACCTTCCCAGAATGAAGGGTATTTATAAGATGGCATGTTGAATTTTGGGAGTCACTTATGGGTCAGTTTGGTTGAGAAGGAGAGTAATGCAAAGTAAGACTGGAAAGGTAGGTTGGAACCAAATCATGGAGGTTCTTAAAGGTGAAGTGGGGAGAGTGGTGGTGTTGGATTAGAGCCCACCTGATAAGCGTGTTTGGGGATGGACATGTGGGAGCTGCACATGGAGCTGAACTTGGGGCCTAGCTGCTTCTGGTGACACGTGTTTTCTAGCTGGTGCACGTAATATGGAATAAGGACATGCGCCCTAACCATTTGGGTTTTAGACTCTCTTTTTTTTTCATCTTTTTGTGTTTGTTTGCAAGCAGTTGGGGTTAAGTTACTTGCCCAGGGTCACACAGCTATTAAGTGGCAAGTGTCTGAGGTCACATTTGAACTCAGGTCCTCCTGACTCCAGGACCAGTGCTCTATCCACTGCACCACCTAGCTGCCCAGGTTCAGACTCTTGATAAAAGGCATATACAACTATAGGCTTCTAGTGGGTCCCTAGTGATGAGTGGAGTGGGAGGCTCTGTCAAAGAGAATGGGCCAATGAGTGAGTTTCTCACTGGGTAGATTTTAGAGGGAAAGAAAATGTTCATTCTCAGTCTCTTCTTTCTCTTTTCATAACATATGTAGCTTAGGATTCCAATAGCTGTTCCTTGGACTTCTCACAGAGGAGAAGAGAATTTCTTTTTCCTCTTCCCCCTGGAAGCTATGAAGGCTTCTTAGAAATAACTGCAAGAGACAAAACAGCTGATTGTCTAGATGAGACTGAAGCTCAATCTCAAGGCCCTCGTCTACCGCTAGCTATCTTCTGTTTTGTGTTTCTGACTGAAAAGCAATCCTGAGATGGATATTTCTATCCTTAGTGGCAACCTCATGAAGTTGACAGGTTAGGAGCTCCTGGGTCCAGTGGCTGGTTGTCCAGCAGGAGATGTCTGAAGCAAGAAGAGAAAATGATAGCTTCCGGGAAGAGGAGACCAAGCTTACTCTGGGTTGCCAGAAAATATGCACTTGAGAGAGTTGCTTGTACAATGCAAAACTGAGGTAAAGGTGAAATATCTGGCAGCAAGTTGTGGTATATGAATGTAATGGAATACTATTGTGCAGGCAGACTTCAAAAATACCTGGAAAGACTTCTGTAAACTGATGCAGAGTGAAATGAGCAGGACCAGAAGAACATTGTACACAGTAACAGCCACATTATGCGATGACTGACTTTGATAGACTTGACTCTTCACAGCAATGCAAGAATCTAAGATAACTCCAAAAGACTCATGATGGAAAGTGCTATTCACATCCAGAGAAAGAACTATGGAGTCTGAATGCAGATGGAAGCATATTATTTGCTCTCCTTTTCCTTTGTTGCTTTGTTTTATTGCTTCATTCTCGTGGTTCCTCCCATTAGTTCTAATTGTTCTTTACATCATGACTAATGGGAAAATATGCTTAATATGAATGTATAAGTAGAGCCTGTATCAGATTGCACGCCACTGTCTTGGGTAGGGAGAGGAATGGGAAGGGAGAAAACCTAAAACTCAAAATCTTATGGAAGTGAATGTTGAAAACTAAAAATAAATTAAATAATTATATAAAAAAGGAATATCTGTTAGCTGTCCACAAGTGCTTTTATTTCAATTTTTAAGTTTCCCAAGGGAGTCTGATGTGTGATAGGGAGAAGGGAAGGGGAAGGCAACAAGCATTTATATAGCACCTGCTCTGTGCTCGGCATTCTACTACACACTTTTTTTTTTTTTTTTTTTTTACAAATAATGTCTCATTTGATCCAAATAGTGACAGATATTTTAGAAGTACTGGATTAGGGATAATATTTCAGGGCTGGGCACTGGATTCATAGTGGTCAGGGGTGGAGCGTGAGTAAGTAGAGGGGCCAATGACTTTGTCTTTTTTTTTTTTTTAAGGCAATTGCCCAGAGTCACACAGCTAGTGAATATTATGTGTCTGAGGCCAGATTTGAACTCAGGTCCTCCTGACTCCAGGGCCAGTGCTCTATCCACTGCGTCACCTAGCTGCCCCTGGGGCCAATGACTTTGGGACAGCTTTCTCATTTCAGGATGAGTCTGGTTAAGATCTAGGGCCCTCACAGAACCACTGAAATGGCATGATCTCAGAGTATCCTCTCAAACCCTTCCTCTACCCACCAGGTAAAAAAAACCCAGTTTCTTGGGGCAAGCAAAGATAAGGTGCGGTGAGGGATTATCTATATCTTTTTTTTTTTTTATTACCATTGTAAAGGTTATTGTCCTAGATAGCTAGCTAGGCAGTTGGATAGATAGATAGAACATTTGTTAATCACCTACTATGTGCCAGGCACTATGCTAAACACTGAGGTTACAAATACAAAACAGACAGTCCTTCACCTTGACGGACTTACATTTGCAAGAGGGGGCTGGCTACGTGTCATCCTGAACCAGCATGAAGCTGAGGGTGCCTGGCAAGTGTAATGAGGGGACTGGATAATGAGGCTTGTTCTTATGAGAATGTAGTGCTCTTAAGTTTTCAAGCATATATAAACATTGTGTAATTGGTTTTGGTTGGCTAACGACGTGGTGAATAGGAGCCTCTTTTACTGGCTACAATTGTGTTGATAGAACTAGTGATGAATTCAAAAGGTACCAGTCAACCTCATCCCTTTTCTTGGGTTCACTTCTAGACTGATGGCATTTTGATGAGAGACAATGCCATAAAGGGAGTGGCCTCAGACCCTCCCCATCCAGGGCCGATGTGGCTCTTGAACATGGACCTTGGTTCTTTGCTTCAGTATTTGTTCTTTTGTTTTAGGTGAAGAAAGCTTCAACTTTGCTCTAAGAAATGATGGGCCAGTTGATTTTAGAAAAACATGGAAAGACTTGCATGAAATAATGAAGAATGAAATGAACAGAACCAAGAGAACATTGTATACAGTAACAGCACTGTTGTTCTAAGAACAACTATGAACAACTGAGTTATTCTGAAAATTATAAATATTCAAATAAACTGCAAAGGACCTGTGAAGGAAGATGCTATCCACCTCCAGAGAAAGAACTGATTAATAGAAGTATGCATAGTATGGTTTTATATATATATATATATATATACATATATGTTACATATATGTGTGTGCATGTGTGTATATGTATGTCAAATGGTAGCCATCTCTAGAGTACCGGGTAAGGAGGGAGGGAGATAGGTCAAAAACAAATTAAATGCAACAAAATTGGAACAAAATGAAATGAAGTAAAACAAAAAAATTTAAAAATGATTTATAGGACCCCCCTTCAAAAAAAAAAAAAAGGATTCAACTTTGTGAGTTTTGAAATGTCAGGAAAACGAGCCACCAGGAAGTCTAGAATTAGTGCCGAGGGTTATAGCTAGAAAGTTTAGCTTAAGGACACAACCCAGTGGTAGCAGAGACAAGAGCTCATCCAATAGGGATGCTGCTTTGTACGTCAACTTTGTGGGACCGAAGCTATGTAGAAACTGTGTTAAGTCAGAACCCGTTCTTCTCTGGCACAAAGGTGGTGTAGAGGAGAGTGTGCTCCCGAGGTATTGGAAGGAAGTGTTTGTACTTTTGTTCTTCCTCTAGCTTCAATGAAATATTCCTTTATAAAAACTAGTTGGTACTAATTAAATGGAACTGAGGAGCTAACCATTGGTGACTCACAGTGATGGGGGGGAACCACATCAAAATGAAGGTGATAGTATTAGAGAAAGAAAAACCCCAACCCTAGAGGGACCACCCCCTAGAACCCTGAGGGGGAGATGTAGCTGGCCTGGCTCTGGGATAGGGAGACCAGAGAATAGTCCTAGATAGGTAGGAAGCTAGCGAGATAGATACATAGATAGAGCATTTATTAATTGTATACTATGTGCCAGGAAATGTGCTAAATACCGAAGAAACAAATACAAACAAGCTAGATGGTCCCTACTCTTAAGAAGCTTACATTCTAATGGGGAGGAGAAAACAGAATGAGGAGCTAGAAAGGGGGGAGGGAGAAAGAGAGGGGAGTGAAGGCAAGTTAAGGCAAAAGCTCGTCTATCAGAGCCCTGCATTCCAGGATGTGTCCCATAAATGAGAGAAAGGCGATGACTGGAGTGTAGGGAGCATCATACAGAGACGGTCAAGAAGTGGCATCTGTAATCATCCGAATAAAGTTTTTATAGTATAAATTTTAGTCATCCAGGAATGTATATTACATTTATAACATTGGTAATTTCTGTAGAACCAAGTGCCCCTTGTAATAATATTTCATCTGATCTCATACTAGGTGGAGGTATGCCTGAAAAGTATTCTAAAGTTCAGTGTACATGGTTCATAGTTATGTTTCATTCTGGCTCACCTGCACCATTGCTCTCTTTTATTAACATGGATGAATGAGAGTTGATTACATGGGGTTTCCAACCCATTTGGAGTTTTCTTGGCAAGGATATTGGAGTGATTTACCATTTCCTTCTCTGACTCATTTTATAGGTGAGGAAACTGAGGCAAACCAGGGTTAAATGACTTGCCCAGAGTCACACAGCTACTAAGTATCTGAGGCCATATTTTAATCCAGGAAGATGAGTTTTACTGACTCCAGGCTGGATACTCTATACACTGCGCCCCCTGGCTGCCCAGCCTAAGTAGTAATACTTATAGGAGCATTGATTTAGATTTGGAAAGGATCTTGGAGATCATCTAATTCAATCCTCTTGTTTTACATATGAGGAAACTGAGGCCCAGGGCCAAGACTCAAACCCAAGTTTCCTTATTCTGATTCCAGTGCTCTAAGGCTCCAAAAAAGAAGCAAGAAGAACTCAACAGCACCCATCCATTCTTCTCTATTCTGGGGGACCCTATGGCTAGGCAGGTTTTGGATATGAGGGTACCATCCAGGCCTCTCAGCAAGGGTTATGGGTAACCCCAGTTTTTATCATACTAAAAAGGGTTTTTTCAATGTAATTGTTTTATTCTGAACTTAAACACCAATGAAGAGATGGCATTTCCACGTACATAGTGGAATAGAAAAAGAAGATTATATGAAACTTTGAATATCTCTTATGCACAGCTTGTTTTTAAGCATATAATAAATTCACCATATGACCTTAAAACTTTCCTGATTGTGATTCCTTCTGTCCATTTTTTAAAAAGTGCTCTAGTGACCCTCTTTTTTTTTATTACTTTTTTTGGCCTACTCCACCCCTATCTGACCCCCTTTCCTCCTATTTCCCCACTACCCAGTTGAGAAAAACAAAATCTTTGTAATAAGTAATCACAACCAAGCAAAACAAATTCTTATGTTGGCCATGTCCAAAAATGCACATCACATTTTGCCCCCTGATTCTATTACCTCTCTGTCAGGTGGTGGGTAGCATGCTTCATCATGAGCCTTTGGAATTGTGGTTGATCACTGTGTTAATCAGAGTTTTAAATTGTCTGTCTTTACAATTCCATCACCAGTTGGGCAGTGTGCTTATGGGCAAGACAGTTGGTATGTTAAACAGACCCCACACCCACAGAGTGTCTACATCAGGATGTCTCCTACAGAGAGGGTCAACCTGACCTTTTCACCTAGCTTGGCTGCAGGCTTCAATACATTCCCTATACAAACATTGTGCTTTTTTCCTTCAGCACGGAGGCTGTGGCAAGTCATTTGAATGCTGTCTACGGGTTTCCTGCTGCCACCCAGTGGACATGGGACAACATTACCTGGCATGGTTTTACTTCAATACTGGAAGACATCAAAGGTGCCTAGTACAAAGCTCTTCATTCAAAAAGTCAGAAAATTGAGGACCAGAGTGATTTAATCAGGGTCACACAGCTAGTAAATGACAAAACTGAGGACCTAGTGTCCTATGAAAAATGTACTCTGGGATTTACCCTATCAATTAATCAATCACTTAAGCAATCAACAAACATTTATTAAGTACCTACTATGTATCAGGCACTTAGTCACAGAGGGAGGAGACAAACATTTATTAAGCGCCTACTACATGCCAGACATTGTGCTAAACAGTTCACAAATATTATCTCATTTGATCCACACAACAATCCTGGGAGGTAGGTGTTATTATTATTCCCATTTTACAGTTGAGGAAACTGAGGTAGTCAGAAGTTAAATGACCTCTTCAGGGTCACACAGCTA